TTCTTTAAAAACTCTTCAACATTACAGGACAATTTTTGATATACCAATACATTGTTACGGAAAGGACTGGGATTTCACAAGGGTAACTTGTGACCAGCTCTGGCTCATCCCTCGGAATGGGATTGTAAAACATTTAAAACAACAAACTTTAGAAATATGCATAGATATTTCATTAAATCAGTTATTTCCTTTAGTTAAGAGACCTTGCTATTTTCAGTAAGCAGTTTTCAAATCACAGTCCAAAAGAATGGTTTACTTTAGAAATAAGAAGAGGGGGGAAAATACTCACTTATTGAAACAGATTTCCCCACTGCCATCAGACAACATTAATAATTTGCATTATTCTAAGCCTTGTCAGTGGTAGTGCTTCACTCAGTTGCCTCCAGCCTCAATTTACTCCAATGCTGCTATACACTGAGCAGCCCTAAAATATTTCTGAACAGCATGTGAGTAGCACTGTAGCAGCTGAACTGGGAGTTGATCAGACTGATTTATATACTGTAGTTTCACTAATGCTCTGTTGCAGCTAAGCATCCCCCTTATGCCCGAGGATCACTTTCCTGATATTTTGTTTTTAAACTTTCTCTCTAAATGTTTACTCATGTTGGAGAATAACAGTTTTTATTTTTTTGGTTGGGTACAGCAAAGTTAGATAATTTATTTTTTTAAGCAATTGCGTAAGGGAGAGAGTGCACTAGGACATAGGGTTTGTTTTTTTTTAAGGCAGGTTTTTTTAACAGGTAAACAATTTCAGCAAGCATTTATACCTTTTGTTACAGACAATAATAAGCAACAGCTGCATTTTGTTGATACATAGGTCATTTTGATATTTAATTTTTTTTATTTATTTAGACTTTAGTCTACATTTTACATTTACATATTATTTACACAAGGCTGCAGCAGGGTAATCAAAGCCAAAAAAATAAAAAACATTTAAATTTGTTTTTGGGTAACAGATAGCAAATAAAAAATTTTAATAAAAAAAAAAAAAAAACAAAAAAAAAAAAGTTACACCTTATGTAAAAATTAATATAACTAGTGTTATAAAAATTAAATGATAAAAAATGTGCATTTTCCCCAGAACATGTGCAGTATATATTATAGCAAAAATAAAAAAAATGCAAACTTACCATGCTATTTAATTAAAATCATATTGGGCTCTAAGGGGCACTATAAGTAATGTTTTCTTTCAAATCACTATGTGTTTAAAAGCAAAAGTTAAAAATAAAAGGCAATCAAAAGTCTAAAAAAGTTAAGTGTGTCCTTTTTTTAAGTAAAAATCTTTAAGCTGTAAATAGCTTTAAATCCAAAAGCAAGCCAAAAAGCATCTGTACTAATGCAAATTATCTAACTAATAAGGTAAAAGCCACTAAAACCTGGGCTGCCTATAAAACAAATACAAAAAAATATGGGGTAATTCCTGTGTTTTGCCTAAAATAACAAAAGTATTTGTATATAAAAAAAAATATTTTAAGCAATGACTGACTGTCCAAAAGGGGTAGACCTCTGTTCTTTTGTCTTTCAAATAAAAAAAAACAAAAACAAAAAACGAATGCCAGCTAAACAGCATTCAACGTACCTTGCATTTACTGGCACAATAAAAATTATTTCTGTGTTCTATGTCCTGTCTTGTGGTGTTTGTCTTGTGGCCAAAATTGTTGTTTAATTTTATTTAATTTTGAATTACTGTTCTATGAAAATATTAAATAAAAAAAGCAAATACTTATTTTATTCAACTTAAAATACAAAATGTTTAAATAAATCAAAAAAATGTAATATACTAAAGACTAATACATTTGCTTAAATAAAAAAAAAAACTTCATTGGCCAAATCTTTTAATTAAAAAAAATTGTTGTTAAAATTTGCATACCAACAGTCTTTAAAAGCAAAAACATAAAAGGTTAACCCACTCCCCATTTTGCACATGGAATCCTTCTGGCTACCTCAAATTTCTAGCCCAGGGGTAGGCAACCTTTCAGAAGCGGTGTGCCGAGTCTTCATTTATTTACTTTAATTTAAGGTTTCACGTGCCGGTAATACATTTTAACGTTTTTTAGAAGGTGTCTCTCTATAAGTCTATATATTATATAACTAAACTATTGTTGTATGTAAAGTAAACAAGGTTTACAAAATATTTAAGAAGCTTCATTTAAAATTAAATTAAAATGCTGATCTTAGGCCACCAGCCCGCTCAGCTCGCTGCCAGCCTGGCGTTCTGTTCACCTAGGCCGGCAGCGGGCTGAGTGGGGCCTGACCTCTGAAGCCCCCCACCCCCTCCCAGAAGGGTGGGTGTGGGGGGCTTCAGAGGTCAGGGCAGAGGGCTGGGGGCGTGTGGAGGTGCAGGGCAGAAGGTTGGGGGCATGGGGGGCTTCAGAGGTCAGGACAGAGGGCTGGAGGGGTGTGGGGGGTGCAGGGCAGAAGGCTGGGGGTGGGGTGGGTAAGGGCAGAGGGCTGGGGTGTGTGTGGAGGTGTAGGGCAGAAGCTGGGTGTGTGGGGGGGTGCAGGGCAGAGGGCTAGGGTGCTCGGTTCATGGGGGTGCTCCCAGTCCCCTGCCCTGAGCGGCTCATGGCAGGGGGCTGGAAGGGATATGTCCTGTTCCACCCCCTGCCCCAAGGCCCAGTCCCTACCTCTTCTCTGCCTCCTTTACCCAAGGCCGGCTTTAGCAATGGGCCGCGGGGCTGCTGCGCGCCGGCTGGAGCTCCGGCTGGGAGAGCGGGGCCGCGGGGCTTTTGCGGAGCAGCCATGCTGCCACTCCTTCCCCCCTCCCTTTGCAAGGGCCAGCGCAGGGAAGGAGAGGAGGAGGGGCAGGAAAGCAGGCTGCATCACGGCTGGGGGAAGAAGCGGGGGAGCTTGGCTGCTGCAGGACGAAGCTTCTGCCTCCTGCCCCAGCAGGGGAGAGCGGTGGGAGGGGGGGCTGAGTGCGGCTGGGGGTCGGAACCGCGGCAGGCAGCCGCGTGCCATTCAAAAATCGGCTCACGTGCCGTAGGTTGCCGACCCCTGTTCTAGCCAAAAAGCTATTAAAAAAATAAAAAAAAACCTACTATTGAACACCAAAGGTTGTACCAAGTAAACTCCTCAAAAGTAGGTGTGCTTGTCCTGGCTGGTTGCGCCAAAGCTCTGTATATAAATTATTTTACTAAAAAAAAAAAAATATGTATATAACATACATTAAATAATAAAACGAATGTACGATATAATGGCAATGTATAAATGTTCATTATTAAAAATATATATAAATAAAAAGTAAAAGTTACTTTTATAAATTAAAAAAAGCCAAAACTTAAAAAAAAAAAAAAAAAGTAGCTAGCAACCTCAGTCCAAAAATAAGGCGCTGGCCCCATTCAAGGACACTGCCCACAGCTAAAACTTGGCTAACAATCAAAAAAAAGGGGGGCTTAAATGTGCCCAAGCAGTTGTAAAATCTGCAAAACACTGCCAAGCATTAATAAAATGTGTCCTAGTGCACTCTCTCCCTTTATGCAATTGCTTAAAAAAATAAAATAAAGTATCTGACTTTGCTGTACCCTACCAAAAGAGTAAGAACTGTGTTATTCTCCGACAATTTGGGGGCTCGTCCAGGATGGCAACGCCTGCTGAGACAGTGGCAACTGATGCGGACCGTTCCCCTTTAAACCCCATGGCGCCACAATAGAGGTAGGAGACCTTTTAAAATCTCTATTGGGGTATCGGAGGAGGACTGTCCGTGCGGCTGTCTGTCCCTGTTGGGCTTACGCCATCTGAACTTATTGACTAGTGCAGCAAGATCAAATGCAGAGCGGTGCTGGGGAACTGTTTTGCCGCCACCAATAAGGTTAATGCATAAGGAAAATGCATTAGGTATGCACCAGTGCTGAGGGGTTGTTACCGCCTCATAGTGTATTAAGTCCGGACATAAAGTACACTCATATCCCAATCAAATGTTTTACAGTTGCTCACTGGCTATTAATCTGCTTAAGGAATATTTTCATTTCATATTCTGTCACTAAATACTTTAAAACTATTTTATTGATTCCCACAAAGATGTTTATTGCTGGATGAAACTTTAGAATCAATGTGCTGTCACTGTTCAGCATTAATGAATGCAGTACAAAGTGGTATAGAGCCCATATAATGTATTTTGCTTTGAGGATCTTCCTCAGAGAAAAAGTATAAGTACAAAACTGTGTGCTCTCAAAACTGTACCATTCTAATTGTGGAAGCACTGATCTGATTCCATCAATAAAGGTTGTCTATTTAAAGGAGAAAAATTAATCAAAAGAAGGGAAATCTGATTGGCCCAGCAGATCCAGCTAGTCCAATATCCTCTTTCAGAAGTGACTAGTACCAGATGCTCCAAAGCAAGATACAAGAATCATCAAAGTAGACAATTACGGAATAGCTTATCCATAGCAGAACAATTTTCTTGACCCTCTCACTTAGTGGCTTGTTTATTCCCTGAAACATGACAATCTGTATCCCTTCTTTAAAAATATCAGATCTAATGTCACTGTGAATGTTATCCACATAAATGTTTAACCCGATTTTGAGTCCCACTAAACTCTTGGCCTCAGTGATACCTTGTGACAGTCAGTTCCACAGGTTAACTCTATGTGATGTAAAAGATATTTCCTTTTATCAATTTTAAATTTACCATGTTTCAATTTCACTGAGTGTTTCCCATGTTCTTTTATTTAACTTCTTTATACCATCGCCTCTGTAAACAGTCACAACCTTTTCAAGCTCTCCTCGTATGGAAGACTTTCCATGCCTCCTGTCATTTTATTACTCATCTCTGATTGCAGAAATACAGTAGGCTATGTCTTTTTCAGGATCAGGTCCACATTGCTTTTGGCCTTGATCATGAAAGGTGCTGTGTGCCCTCAACTCCCACTCATTCCAATGGCTTTAAGCATCTCTCAGGATCAGTCCTTTTTGTACAAGTTGCGGTTACTATAAAGAATTAGATGAAACTGTAGCATGTATCTCCTGCTAGCAAAGTCAACGCACAAAGGATGACTCACCTCTGGTTTCGGAACAAAGGCTCGACCTGGAATTGTGAAACAGTTTTGAACAGTGCAGAGGTACTGAGACATGATGGACAGTCTGCTACGTTGCTTGCTTCCTGTGGTGGCTGTGAGCCTCTATGGGATAATCAGAGTGTCATTTATAAGTCAATGAATCCAGACTGACCAAGTGGAAAGAATATTCAAGCTCTATCAACTTGCAGCTTAATCTAAGGTAAGGATATTTAAAACCAAGAGTAACAAAAAAATATATATATTTTTTTTTTTTAAAAAGGCACCCTCTTAAAAGTAAATACAAAGATCAAAAATAACGTTCAAACCCTCTAAAGTTTTTCTAACATGCCTATCAAAGTATCTGAATTACATACAATTTATTGCCCCAAACCTGTAGTTAAATCTGCACAGGTGGTTCCCTGGACTTCTGTGGAGCTTCACTGATATACGGTAAGAAACGGTTCTGGGAGCCACCTGAACAGATCTGCTTGTAGGGCTCATGCTGAAGACGGAATTGGGTGACAATGTTCTCAAAGCCTCTTTTGTTCCCAATGTCCATGTTTGGGTGTTTATTTTTCTGGTCTTTTTTAATTCTTGCTAGATCAAATATTAGTCAAATGAGGTTCTCACAGACTCAGTATAAGGAAGCAAATAAAAGTATTATTCCCTGTAAATCCATCTGCACTTATTACAAAGATAAGGCTGATTTTTCCCTCCTCAATAACTGGATGACATTTTTAAAATATTGTTAAATGAAACAGTTTAATAAAAATGAGGGAACAAATCTTCAAATGTTTTTCACTTAAAATTCAGCTCTAAAGATCTCTTAATTTCCAAAAAAAGTCCCAAAAAGACTTACAAAGCCACAATTACTAGTTTTGTAAATGACCACCACAATAGTTGTGAATTATTGGAAACTAAGTATAATGGAGCTAGGAATGAAACAGTGTTGCGGGTCACATAATGAACAATCAGGTTGAGAAATAATATTGAGTGGAGTAGGTGGAAATGTAACCTCTATCTGCTGTTGGTGCCTCTGTTTGCAGTTGGGAAACACGCCATAGGGTACCTCCCTTGCTAAGCTACAGAAACACATGGGAATTTTTTCATACACTTTTCAATAAGTCCTAACGTCAGTTCAACTGAACTGGTATGAAAACATGAGGAAGCAGTAGGATAAAGAAGGCTCCTGTGACTTCCAGATATTTTAGTTAAAAGTGGTAAAAATTGGTCCTGTCTACACTACAGTGCTCATGATCTGGTAAGAATTGTGTTTTGTATATTTAGCCAGTGTAGACAAGACCTCAAGGTATTTGTACAAAGAGTGACAAGTACAGAATGCCACCGAACATTAGAAGTGGCCCTTATTGCACTGAAATATCGTAAGGTGATTCATGTCCTCATTTGTCACATCACCTTTGTTTTCACAATATATACAGATGAAAAAGAGGACATGGATATCTGATGGCAATAGCTGCATCCAATGTGCCCTCCAGTGAACACAGTACCATTGAAATGTTGGCATGGCTAACTGAAGCCTTGCATACACTAGGAAATTGAACTGTTGCGGAAAACCCCTGTCCTGACACTACAGATGGTTTAAGTGCTAATGTAGAAAAAATACAAAATCATTTTCAATGCTATTTCAGAAAGAGATCATAACATTTGATTTTGTTTGGTCCACACTAGCACTTAAACCACTTCAGTCATTTCATTTCAACAACAGTTCAACTTCCCTGAAAACACCAGGCAAGAAAATGCAAGTTATGTGCCACAAAGTTGTACAAAGACGTTTTACTGTCAGAATCTGTATCATCACTTTTTTTCTTGCGGTTGCCCTTTTTCGTCTTTCAAGCTTCTCATTCCATCTAAAATCCATATATGGGCAATGTCTGATTTTGTGCCACGTAAAAAACAACAGTAATAAGTATTTTTGGTCACACTTTTTTTTTCTTCCAACAAAAATAGAAATTCTGTTTACTAGTATCTTTCATCTGATGATCTAAACATGTATCTCCATACACCTCGGTGAATCTGGCTAAGTGTTGTTATTCCTGTTCTTCTACTAGTGCATTTTAAGTATTTATAAGACACCTATATCCTGGAAATCTACATCCAATTTTTACAAACAGTTAAACAGAGGAAGAAAGGTGAAACAACTTGCCTAAGGCCTAAACAGAGAGTGGCAGATCCAGGAATAAAACCTAGAAATTCTGACTCCCAGTTTCCTAACTGACCATAAGGTAACCTGTTTCTTTTTACTGAAGGTAGTGTATTTCCCAAAAAGGCATACCAACTCATATAAATAAAGGAAATGTGAACCATAACACTGAAAGGCTTTGATCTTCTCTTTTATAAAATATTCATTGGAATCACACACATTTAAATAAACGAGAAACCAAGAAACACAAGATCCTACAGTGTAAACACAACAACAACCACCACCGACTCATTCCATGACCTTGAGAACATCACTCCACTTTATAATGTTCAGTCTTTTCAGCTTTCTAAATACAAGGAACTTAACTGGTATGCTATTTTGCATGTCATTTGAGCTATGTTGGGTGCAGAAACACTATAATCTGCATGTCATGTTGGAAAAAAAACCCCTAAAGGCACATACATCTGGTTATAGCTATATAAAGTACGGAGTGTTTCTATGTTCTCAATTCTCTTTGTAATTCTTTTTTGTTGCTATCACAGCATTCCACATCTTTCCACTTTATACTTTAAAGCCTAGTCTATTAGCCATTTTTAATGTTTAGGCTAATAGCTCTTATGTTATGAAGTATTTTGGGAAAAAGAACTGGATCTTTTGTGCCAGAAATCACTTGAACTCAGCGATGATAAAAGGCGGCTGCTTTATTTCACATTCACAATATACAGACTACTTGTCCCAGATGTTCTCTACAGCCATCTACTGGAACCACTTAAGTATTTATCTCGAACCCTGTTCTCGCAAAAACTGCAGTAAATGTAGCAGAATGATGGGAGCTCTAGGTATCGGAGTAACGTTCTAGGTACCCGAAATAACAGCAGAGATTTAATTTATGGCATACAATCACTGTATTTCTCATTTACACAATTCACAAAAGACCCTGCAGGTAAAACTTAACGTCTAACCTGGTTTTCAGTTTGGAGAAGCTACTTTAACCTTTTGAGTGCAACACATAGAATATACACTCAGGTAACAAACAAAACTGAATACTTGCAGAACAATGAAGTGGTTGAGAAAATGGTAATCTGGTTTTCTCAAACACTGATAATGAAATAAACTATAAAAAAAATGTCTGAGGGCATTGTACAGTGAGTCAGCTGATTATCAGTTGACCCAGAAACATCTGAGAGAGTCTGTGGAGAGCAGGCAGATCAATTTCACTTTCATCAAGTTTCTCAGTTTTCAAATTAAATGTAACCAGTCAAAAACTGCTCCAGCAGTTCTTAGAATTGGAAATTGATTTGGTGCATTCAATTTTATTCTTGACAGGGTATGGTGAAGAGATTGGCAATGGTCCCATTCAGATTTCTGGCATCAAGATCATATTCAGGAAAGCAAAGACCAGCGTCTATGGGCTCCACTGACAAGAAATTCCCTATGTTTGAAGTGTTTAATCATTGGTGGGAATCAGTGATTGACATTTCAAATCTGAAAAATCTTCTGTTAGCAAGGGAGGTCTAAAATAAAGCAGGGTAAAATATTACTTACAAGATGAAGTGCTAACTCAAAATGTCACGTCAGCTGATGAGGAAGGAAATAGTTGAAGACAGAAAAGGAGCATGCTGTGGAAGCTACTTGGAAAGAAGCAGTCAGATTTCAAAGAAAACAAGATTGTGAAATGTTTCAATGCTTAAGGGAGATTTATCTCCCACATAAGAAGAAACTTTTTATAAACAGTGTGCAATGAAAAGAACTGAGCAGATTTTTAAAATTAATATTAAATTGTATAATTTGTAGCTAAGCATACAGAAACTTAAGCACTGTGCCAGGTTTCCAGCCTTAAAATTACCATTTCAGAGAAGTATAGACTATTAGGCAGTTTTAAAACATCCTGCAAGTCAACAAAATCTCTCTCAGCCTTTTCTCATCTACCACTAAAGTAATTAGGTGCTGAAATAATTTGTCCAATTTTACGTCTTTAATAAGCCAATAACAAAACTTACCTCTGCTACTTCCTTCTGAAAAGTCAAAGTCATCCGAGTTCTGCCATAAACAAAAGGTCCATCTCTATTGGAAACATTTTCAAGCCACCTGATGATCAGAGGAGTTGAAACACTGAACGGCAGATTTCCAATGATATGCACGTTTGGTGGATCTATAAGAATTTGAAAAGAAATCTTTTGTAAAAATAGATAGGTAAGTGGGGTAGGGTGAAAGGCTGTGGTTTTGTGGAACACAGAACACGTTCTACAATTAGAGAGGGCTGTATAGTTTGGAAGGCCTCCACCTCAGCAGAAGGGGGACTGATCTCCTTGGGGACAGGCTGGCTAGAGTAGTCAGGAGGGAATTAAACTAATAGCAAAAGGGGAGGGTACAAAGGAGGAAGATATGAGCCCTCAGAACAAAAATCAAGATGTTGAGAACAAAATTTATTCAAGAAACCAAAGAACGTAAACAGAAAAAAAATCTTGAATTGCCTATACACTATGCTAGGAGTCTAGGTAACAAACAAGAGAAACAGAAAATGCTCACTTATGAGCATAAATTTGATCTAGCTGGTATTACTGAAACCTGGCGGAATGATTCACATGATTGGAATGTTAAATCAATGGTTATGACCTATTTAGGAAGGATCAAATGGGAAAAGTGGGAGTGGCACTATGTAAAAAGTAGCATTACTTATTTCCACGTCCCTAATAACGCAGAAGAAAATTATCTTGAATGCTTATGGCTCAATGTCCTAAAAGACAAAGCACAAGATGGCATAGTAGTTGATGACTGCTACAGACCACCACATCATACTGGGGAACAGGATGACTGCCTACTTATGCACTCATCTATAATATGTCGGAACAAAAACTTATCATGGGGGACTTCAATTTGAGTGACATATGCTGGAGGTCTCATGCTGCCAGTACTAAAACATCCTTGGAATTTCTAAACATTATAGATGACAATTTCCTAATTCAAAAAGTGTTGCAGCCAAGATATTAGATAATTTTTTCACATCTTAGCTCAGAGAGCATTATATATTACACTGCTCTACAGCCAAAATGCTTCTGAAATAAATGCAGTCAAACTTTACTAATTCTGGGTCACTGAGAACGAAAATGATGCTTAAAATTGTTGATTGGCTCTAGTTTTAAGATATGCTATTGGGTCAGTATATACGGCCCTTGACTTGGGAATGGCGGAGGATAAGTGAGTTATAAAGGGAAGGGATCTCAATTTAAACCAGAAATGACTAAAATATATATCTGACTGGATCTATGAATAAATCTATGACTGAGTTTGGACAGTACTTGCTTTTTAGGCAAAACAATGAATGATGCAATCTGAAGCTGGTATTGCGTCATACATGATATGAATTGCATCATGTTATTCCTAGAAGTCATGGATGATGCAATCATAACGAAGCTTACATCACTCTGCTGAACAAATTGCCCTATATCAGCTCTAGAAATCATAGTGTCGTGCTCTCTTATTTGTCAGTGTTTGATTTTGCAAAGGGACACATTTCTGTTTAGCCAAAGGGAGCAGAAATGCCTCGTACTTGTGTGAACAGTGCAGATAACTTCTGCTATGTTTGTGGTGAAGTGACTTTTGCATCACAAAAGCGCAGTATAACCTCTATGGTTAAGAAAGCCTATCACCTTTATTTTGGCTGCAAAATTGGAGATCAGGACAAGAGGTGGGCCCCACACATATGCTGCCACACTGGTGCAACAAATCTTCGCCAGTGGTTGAACAGGAAAAGGAAATCTATGCCTTTTGCAGTGCCAATGATTTGGAGAGAGCCAACAGATCATACCAGCAATTGTTACTTCTGCATGGTGCCTCCAGTTGGGAAAGGTGTGTCAAAGAAGAAAAAGTGGACTGTGCATTATCCAAACATTCCATCAGCTATACGCCCAGTACCCCACGGAGAAGGACTGCCGCTTCCTGATGCACCAGAATCAGTCTCACTTGAGTCAGACAAGGAAGAGGAAGAGGATGAAACTTCTGGTCCTGAACCATCAATGTCACAGGACCCACATTTTCTCCCATCCTCCTCCTCTGAACCACACCTCATAACACAAGGTGAACTGAATGACCTTGTCAGGGATTTGGAACTACCCAAGAGTAAGGCAGAGCTGTTGGGCTCCAGACTACAGCAGTGGAATCTCCTGGCAGGTGATGTCAGGGTTTCCATGTTCCGTGACCGTCAAAAGAATCTTGTCCCATTCTTCTTCAGGGAAGGTGATCTTGTAGCCTGCAACAACATCGATGGTGTGATGGCAGCCCTCAACATCGTTCACGATCCAGATGAGTGGAGACTGTTCATTGATTCATCGAAGACGAGTCTTAAAGCTGTTTTACTGCATAATGGCAATGTTTTGCCATCAATTCCAGTTGGTCATGCAGTCCATATTAAGGAAACCTATGACAACATGAAACAACTTTTGAGGTGCATAAACTATGACCAACATCAGTGGCAGCTTTGTGGCGATTTGAAGGTTGTTGCTCTCTTGCTTGGTCTGCGGACTGGATACACAAAGTACTGCTGTTTTCTCTGCGAATGGGATAGTCGTGCAAGAGATTCCCACTACATCTAGAAAGATTGGCCACTCCGACAGTCATTGGAGCCTGGGAGGAAAAGTGTTCAGCATCCACCACTTGTTGAATCAAGGAAGATTTTGTTACCACCCTTAAACATCAAGCTGGGTCTGATGAAGAACTTTGTCAAGGCCATTGACAAAACACAAGCAGCTTTCAAGTACCTCCGTGGAAAATTTCCAAGGTTCAAAGTGAAGCTAAGATAAAGGTAGGTGTCTTTGTTGGTCCTCAGATTCGTGAACTTCTTCGAGATGATGCATTTGACCATGCACTGCGTGGCAAGGAAAAGACGGCATGGAAAGCCTTCCAGTTAGTGGCAATAAATTTTCTCGGAAACAACAAGGCAGACAACTACAGGTTGTAGGTGGAAAACCTCCTCAAGGCATACAAAAGCCTTGGTTGCAACATGTCACTAAAGATACATTTTTTTGCACTCTCATCTAGATTTTTTCCCACCGAACTGCAGAGCAGTGAGCGACGAGCACGGCGAGCGATTTCACCAGGACATTGCAACAATGGAGAAACGCTATCAGGGCAAATGGAGCCCATCAATGCTTGCAGACTATTGCTGGACAGTGACAAGAGATGCTCCATTTAATGAATACAAGAGACAAGCCAAGAAGCGCCGAGTAGACACTGAATAGGACTAAACTATGTACAGAATAGTTTTTTGCCTTTTGTTTCATAATAAATTTTATTTATATAACACTTTTGCTGATTTTTAAAGTGTTACATAAACAGGACAGGTGAAATATTATCATGTAAAGCAACCATAAACACATGAAAAGACCTAGGTTTACAATTTATGATTAAAACTCTACTATCTACACAATATACAGAGACATAAAATGTAAAAACTTATATATCTTAGAAACCGTAGCCAGTTGTTTTAATTGTCATATTTTAATTCAGCACATCAAAATACATAATAAATAGCACATTTTATCTCTGAAGCAGACTACTTCTCAAAAATTGTAGACCAGTGTTATACCTTGTCCTAACAGATAAAGAGAACTGAACACAGAACTAAAAGTGAATGGTAGCTTAGGCACAAGTGATCAGGACTTTATTCCGCTTGCATGTTATAAATGTGATCAAGTCCAGACCAGTAATATTTTATATACACCTCTACCCCGATATAACGTGACCCGATATAACACGAATTCGGATATAATGCGGTAAAGCAGCACTCCGGGGGGCGGCGGAGGGGTAGGCGGGGCTGCGCACTCCGGCGGATCAAAGCAAGTTCAATATAACGCGGTTTCACCTATAGCACGGTAAGATTTTTTGGCTCCCGAGGACAGCGTTATATCGAGGTAGAGGTGTATATGTAGAGGTGTGTTCTCACACACACACACACACACACACACACACAGCTTTAACAAGGCCTATTTCACAAAACTGAAAACAATTATGAGCCAAATGAGCAGGGTCCTGGCCAAAAGAGTGTATGCTTCCCAGGATCGCACTAACAGAGGACTATTGAATAGGAGAGGTTATTTTACTTCTGTATTCGGCACTGGTGTAAGCGCTGCTGGAATACAGTGTCTAGTTCTGGTAACCACAATTCAAGAAGGAGGTGGATAAATTGGAGAGGGTTCAGTGCAGGAGAATGATTAAAGGATTAGAAAACATGCCTTACAGTGACAGACTTAAGGAGCTCAATCTAGGGAGCTTAACAAAGAGAAGGTTCAAGGGCACCATGATTACAATCCAAGTACCTTCAATCTAGCAGAGACAGATATAACACAAACCAATGGCTGGAAGTTGAAGCTAGACAAATTCAGATGAGAAATAAATGTAATGGCCAGAGTAATTAACCACTGGAACAATTTACCAAGGGTCTAGGCGGAGTCTCCATTACTAACAATTTTTAAATCAAGATTGGATATTTTTCTAAAAAGATACGCTCTAGGAATTATTTTGGGGAAATTCTATGGCATGTCCTATAGAGGAGGTCAGACTAGATGATCCCAATTGTTCCTTCCAACCTTAGAAACTACGAAGCTATAATCTAATGCATCTTGACAAAATTTGCACAAAAACAGCTTTACCCTTATTCTTCTTTTCATATGCAATAAACAATTCTGGGGACTTTCTAACATCCATCCTGAGTATCAGGTTTAGGAAAGATCGGAAAAATTATATATTGGTTTACATGAAAATCTGATGCCACCTTTGATAAAAAGGTCTGTATAGAGAATTACTTTATCTTTATGAAAAAACAGTAAATGGCAGATCAACAATTAACATACAATTCACTTATACTGAAATGACAGCTGTCAAAAAGAAGTTTTAGTAGATAGAATAATGTATAGTTTCCCAAAGGTTCAAAGGGAGGTTTCATCAATTTTGAAAGCACTATGTTCAAATCCCAAGATGGTCTAGGATTTTTTTTTACTGAAAGATATTAATTATGAAGACTTTTTAAGAACCTCTTAACTACTTTAAGAGTAAAACTAATGTGCTATCCACAGATAAATGGTATGCTGATATGGCTGAGAAGTGAACCTTCACTTAAGATAGGGCAAATATTTAATATATAATTGAATGCTGTAC